GAAAATTTTCCAGTCGATAGATTTTTTTAAATTTTTACTGCAGTCAGATAATGAGTTGCTTAATCAAATAGCTCGTATCAGAAAAGCAAAAAGAAATTGCGGATCACCGACTTCGTTTCAGAGATGAAGCGCGTGGAAAACAACCCTGATTTTGAAAAAATGGCGCACTTAATTCAGCATGGGCTACACGGGTTCACAGTTAAAATCGAAGGGCGAGTCAGCAGAGGCAAACGATATTAGCCGTATGTTGTAGAATTGGGTCTGTTGCGTAAATAGTTCCAAATGTCGCCTCCGTTCTCACAAAACTTAACCCTTCAAGAGGCATTTGAAACTGCCGCACATATAAACGAACAATTTAAAAGAACGGAATTCCATGGTGCATTCAGCAAAAAATTCAACCTTTAATCGATGGTTTCCTTCCTTTTTCGCTAAACGTAGAAAATCGGTAGATGAAATGATCCATCAAAAGAAAAATAAGGGTCACCGAACGTCCAAAATAATTAAATCCAGGCAAAGTTCTTTTTTTTTCTAAGCGCGCGCTCTCATGCATGACGTGGCGTGTGAATCTGCGTACGCAGTAAGGATGCGCAGAAACAGTTAGCGCGAACGTCCTTCAGTTCCGCTATTATAACAAACGTTACAGGTTCTAAATTTCTAAACTCCGACAAGGAAAAGTAGTTTAAAGGACATCAAGATGATTTAATTGAGTTCTCAAGCAATATTAAAATTCTAGTATTTTTTTTTTAAATCTTTCCTCCCAATGAACCCGTCTTGATGAAAAGATTAAATTTGATGGCGAGAAATTAACAGAACAAAAATTCGACGTGTTTAGGACTGTCAGCCGACTTTTTAACAGAGCAGAAGAAATTGAAGTAGATATAAATACTTTATCTGATGGCATTTGGAGACTGCGGCTATCAAAGCTGGTAAATGATCTGCCTACCATTTCACACGTGAAAATTCTCAAATCGTTAATTGTTTTCACGCGCATGACGACATCAAGCCATACAATTATGACGTTGCTTACAAAACTGAACAAACTGGAAGATAACTCAATTGTAAGCGTAAGAACAGAAAAAGAAACTGAACGACAATGTCAGAAAACGTTAATACAACCATGAATGCAACACAGTCATCGAGCTGCGCCAGTAATCCTACAGCAGAAAAACTCGGAAAAACCGCCGCTTACTGCCTGATCTTTCTTGTCTCGCTGGCTGGAAACACCGTCATTGGAATAATTGTTTACAAGACGAAAACAATGAGAAAGCCCATCAACTTCTTAATTGTAAACATGGCCATGTCCGATCTGCTGTTTTCGATTTTTATTATTCCTCAGGATATACAAAAGCTCTATATAGACTCCTGGCTGATCGGTGGTCCTCTTGGCCAGGCCTTATGTAAGCTGACTTACTTCTTATCAGATGTCTCCACTGCTGTGTCTATTCAGAGCCTGGTTCTGATAGCTGTGGATCGATTTGAAGCTGTGGTATTTCCCCTCCGTTCCCCCATCTTGAATTCAAAACTGTGCCCGTTCTTCATTCTCGCCACTTGGATCGTCGCGATGGCTGTTGGGTCCCCAGAGCTCGTCGCCGTTAAACTTGTTGAATATCTAGGAGGGCTGGTGTGTAGGCGGCTTTGGAATGAAGCCTTCGGAGTGTCCTCGTCCTTTGAGAATTACTACTTCTCCGGTGCTGTTGTATTTATTTTTATTCCGTTGGTGTTAATAGCCATACTTTACATTACCATCTATATAAAGCTCAAATTACAAAAAATTCCGGGCCTGCTATCGGCCAACGCTGGACATCAACACCTGCAAAGGGAACGAAATGTGCTAAAGATGGCTATTGCTATTGTGTTAGGGTTTGCATTATGCTTGCTGCCTTTCGGTATTGGCTCGTCACTCGCCCCCTTTGCATCGGACATGTGGACTTGTGGCTTCAAAATCTTTTATTCTGTCGGCCTTTTAATGGTTCGCGCAAATTGTGCCATAAATCCTTGCATCTGTTTCATTTTCAGTAGAAATTATCGTGAAGAACTTAAGGCACTCTTTAGATAAAGGATTTTTAAACAGCGCAGGAACTGATGATACTCAGTCAACCTTCAGGCGTTCTCAAGTCGGCCTGAAACATTTAAAACCATTAATTTTTATAATTCATGAGAAATCTTGGCCGTCCAACAAACTGTTTAAATAACAATTATTTTAATCCTGCTATTTCTTTTATTCAATTTACGCTTGCTTAACTTCACGGAATCGTTTCTAAACTTCATTTCAGTTATCAAACTTCAAAATCTCTAAATTGAAACTTTGGCATGGAAAAGTAATTAAAAGGACATCAAGACGATGTAATTGAGATCAAGCGATATTAAAATGCTAATATTTAACGTCTTGTCTCTCAATCACCCGTCTGATTAAAAAATGATCTGTTTAGGAATATGAACCAACTTTTCAAGCAGAGCTGAAGAAGTCAAGAAATATAAATGCTTTATCTGATGACATTTTGGGACAGTTTGGCTATCAAACCATCAGTAATTTAGCTCGATCTCATTAAAATATCAGCTGAAAAGTAACTGGTGGCACAAGCTTGTGTTGAGCTACTCCCGAAAAAGTAAAGAAACCCCAATTATTTTCTCAAACATGAGAAGGAAAACTAAAAAAAAAGGATCTGTGCTATAAACACGGCCCTTACTAGAATCAATATAAATAGAGCACTGCTTCCTCGTCTGGAAACAAGCCACATGAAAAAGAACGTGTCAGCCGGAGAAATAACTGATATGAAATGCAAATGTCAAGCCAAGCGATCAACTCGCTTTCAGTAGCACATAATTAGAGGGACTTACTAAGTGACCAAACCAGACGAAAACTCATTTGTGAGCG